CCCCCCCCCCCCCGCATACATCCACAATGGCCTGGCTTGAAACAGGGAAACCCAGAAAGGCACCGATAATTAATTTGGAGAAACTTTGCCGAACAAACATTGAACCACACAAAGGTGCCTGAATGGCTGCTACCCATATACACGGGGCCAGAACCTCATGTGTCACAGGCAGGCCAATGTACACTTTGGAGCTTCTTGCTCGGGGTAGGAAACTTCTGTGAAGCCCAAAATGACGTTGAGCTGGCATGACGATTGATTTGCTGATTCCTTATAACCCCAAGATAAACAACTTTACGCCACACATCGGCGAATCACCATTGGGTTGATTTCAATGGGTCCTACTTCTGCAGAATATCTGCCAGCGCAATCTGACTATGTGTTGAAGGCCGATTGCTTGGCTTCAATCACCTTTCCGAGTCTGTTCCGCGGAGATACAAGTTCACTAGGCTTCACAAAGGTCCTGCAACAGTGCAGTTCTGAATTCATGGCAGTTTCATGCATGCCTCCTGGGAGAAGCTGATGGCGGTCTGCAGGGGTTAGCTTGGGCAGGCATGTTTCATCTCTGTCAATACACGGCTCTCAGACCATTTTTCCTAGACCCAGGTTGATTCAGCCAGCATGCGCAACGGGATCCAGACCCCTAAGCCAGAAACACTTCTGAGACAAGAAAACACCACGCGAAATCAGGACGCGTTGAACAACTAACTACCTAGGAAACTGGAAACAGACCCTGAATTGTAAAGTCGTAAGCCCCAGTATTACTATCAATAAATGTTAGTACTAATAGCAATAGTAAAAATAGGAACGGATAGAAAAAAATAATACCTAATAAAAGTAGTGATGAGAAAACGTCAGGGCTTTGCTTTGGAGCTCCAGGTGCGCTTCTTATGCGTCCTGGTTCTCCGGCTCTGACAGGCGCTTGGCTTCCTGTCGCCCAGCAATGGGTTAGTGAGTGTGGAAGAGGTGCGATTAGGTGTCATCCTATAGGGGCACATGCTTCCCCCACTTTTCTTCAGCGTCTGCATGTAACTAACAAGGGAAGACAGGAAAGGAACAAGATTCATGGTTCAAGATCTTTTTGGATGTGTGCTGTAAAGTTGAATGATCTGAGATTAAGGTGCGGAAGTAGCTTGTTTAGTCGGAATAGTAGCATGATATCAATAAAAAGGCTGACCGGGCATTCTAGAAAACAAAAACAACATATGAGCATGCGGAAACAGTGCTGGGCCCCCCTTTTTTGAAAGAGCTAGGCCCCTTGGCCAATGCTGTTCTGCTTGCTAAGGGCTTTGGATTTGTGAATCGCAGCCCGCCGCAAAACATTAACACGCCGCTACCCCGACGCGCTAATTTCAGGCATTAGTGTATTATTTTCTTTTGTACTCGGCGGGGGGGGGGGTAAGGGTTTGGGATTTAGGCTTGTGCGGCTGGAGGGCTTTAGGGTTTGGCTTTAGATTCAAAGATTGCTTGTCAGGCACGTAGGCAGGTCTAAGATGCAAGATTCCTTGCTTCCCTGAGCATGAATTGGTGTCCCTGCCGGGTTCTCGTATAGTCGTTGCTTAATCAGTTTTTTTCAGAGCAGCGGCGGTTCCAAGGGAGTTATATGGCATCGGAGCCTTCAATGATATGGCACTAAAAGGGGCATTGTTAGGGAATGGGTCAGAGCAGCTTTATGTGCCCCCTGGCACCCCGACAACACCCCATCCCATGGCAGCCTCTGGAGTGAACAGGACCTTGAAGAACAGGAACTTGGACAAGTTCATGTATCGAAGCCTTGTGAATAATGTTTTTTTGGTTGAACCTAGTAAGATAATATTCCTTATATGAAATACTAGACCCAAAAGGAGGATAGAATCTTACTCTATATTGGGTACCATAGTATCCCCAAATAGAATACTTCTGTCGTGGTGGACAGGGGAAATCATGCGTCACTGAGGATCCTCAAAATACTGTACTTATTGGAGGGGGCGATTCTACGGTATATTCGGTAGTGCAAGATGCCCTCCACACACAATAGCTCTTCTCCCGAGGCACCCTAAACCCTAAATGATTGGGGGAGGGTTAAGGGCTCAGGGTTTAGGACCAAGCTAATGTCAAAAGTCCAGGGTAAGAGAGTTTAGGTTTGAGGGGTTCAACATTTCAGGGCTGAGTGCTCTAGGGCTCTAGGGTTTCGGCGGTTGCAGGTCTTAGGGCTTGGCGGCTTCAAAGTCTCAAAAGTCAACGGCAACAGTAGTCGAAGAAGTTTAGTTGCGCCGGCGCAGAAAGTAACAGCTATATAGAGCTATAATGCCGGTAGTAGTCGCGGCCAGAGTGAGGCTAAGTGCATTGATAGTGACCGCATCTACAGTCCGCACACTCCCGCCCAAAGGGGAGGTCGCCTGAAGTCGAACATGTAGGTGCTGGGTTTGCTGGGAGACCTCCACCACAAGAACCGCTGCCCCAAATAGAAAACCCTCCCAAACAGCCCAATGATAAGTACCCCACATGCTCTATGAATATGTAGGACTCGGTGGGCGGGACGTTTGTTTACTAACTCCTCGTCGTTGTCATCATCATCCCCACGAGTCTGTGAGTCTTGAACGCCATGGGAGTTGCGTCGAAGGCTTATTTGGAATAAGGATTTTAGTTTAGGGTTTAGGGGAATAAGGTTCTAAGTTCTAAGTGTCACATATTAAGACTGCACGGGGGGAGCTATTGCGAGGAGTCTGGAGAGCCGCCAAGCCCGACAAAGCTTCAAAACCTCCGAGCGGAGTATGCGGGAGGTTCCATAAATAGGGGAATATATGATCTAATATACTAGAGTCCCTATCATAATTACTCGCAAAAGTGGGGACCCCAAATCTATGGAAATCCCATTTCAGCTGTTACTACTGTACAGGCATAGATATTTACCGACATCGTTTTGAGGTCCGTGTGACGTACCTCATGCCGTAATCATAAAAGGAACCTAGGACCATAAGATTAAAAGACATTTAGGCGCCTCAATTAGCTGCAAGCGAACCAAGATCATGATTAATGAGTTCGCGCCACCATGCAAGTATTCATCACTCTATTGCGGTAGGAAGATATGGTCCCCATTAAGTACATAGACTATGGGGTATATGGGGATCTGATCATAATATACACAAAGCCATATGTTATCTACTTAAGGGGGAGTATAAGCCCTAAACCCTAAACTCTAGATAGTAGTTTCCATTTTCTTTTCCATTATCCCAATATGACCCCTACAAACCCCATATCTACTCAAGGGGGACTATACATTGAGTATAAGGTCCTAACACAAAGGCAAAGTGTGCTAGGCGGCGGCCTGGGAAGAGTAGCCATCCCTGGTCTTCCTACCACGCCAGGTTCAGGATCCCCCCAAAACAAACCGTGAAGGGTTTAGGGTTTGGGGTCTAGGGTTTAGGGTTTAGGGGCGGTTAGAGCTGGTCACTGAATGCCCTCTTCCTTTCTTGGGCTTGCTTGGGGTGAAAGATGCTACAACCTTTCAGTGCCAGGGGCATCTCCATAGCGTGAGCAGACCACCTGGGATTGGCTCTGTTTTCACGGCCCGTTCGGCTGTAGGGACAGGGTCTCACAAACCTTCTAGCCCTGGAAAGAGACCTACTGTTGATGGATGTAATCTCACACCACCTTGCGTCCCTAAAGTCCTAGAAGCTACAGTCGTTTAGGGCCCCTAGGCGGTGCAAGATTTCCTTTATCAACAATAATCCCTTCCCATCCCAAACTATCCTACACACTCTCCAACTGTTCCCTGTACCTCCTCCTCCTCCCCACCCTTCAGGTCATGAATCTGAGGCAGGCAGGTAGTAAGTACCAGGCTTATGAATTTCAGCAATCAACTTTAACTTGCATCCGCGAAACAAGAATTCCAATTGAAATGTTGCCCCCCTACGCATCTGCCACCCCACAATGACTTCTATAGGAAAGATGTAGAACCAGGGAGCACGGGAAATTCAAGATTGAGGAAAAGATTAATTATGACCTTGACTGTTAGGCTTTGGATGTTGGGTCTACTGGGGGCCTGCAGCAACAAAACTCCAGGAGCACGAAGGGTCCAGAGTGTTGAGGGATGCAAATGGCATTCACCAACCCCCCTTCCCACTCCTACACCGGCACCCATACAAACATGCAGGTGGTTTTAGGTAATTGTCTCTTGACTTACGCCCAAAGACTACGGGATTTAATTTGCCAGATGCTATGCAGGGACACCTGGCTACGGGCAGAACCACATGATGTGATTGTGTTGGAGGTCTCGGATCGACCAGCTATCTGAAGGAAATGGCAGTAAACATCTTGAACAAACCCCTGAAACGACGTCCTTGCGACGGAGAACCTACACTGCTTGAAGTCTAAAGCAAAGGCAGGATTCAGGCGAGTCAGTCATACAGAAGTGTCACAGGATCATAGAACAGTGGCCCTATTGTCAACAAAAGGGCTTTCGTTCACAAAGACCTTCTCCGGCATAAACCTGTGGGAAAATTCATCTGTCTTCCACCCCTATATAGCTTGATCAAGGAATATACCTTACACCACATTAGGGGTCCTGTTATAGTTTAAGGTATATTCCTTAAGTAAGCCATATTGGGCTCTTGGGGAGCATACACATCCAGAACTGTCAGCTGCCATGAGGCTTAACATAGTTAGTTGTAATAGAGCCTTATCATCATGCCTGCAGGAGTTCACGAAAGAAGTCGGCATGCCAAACAAACTGTTATAGCTCACAGCATTCTCACTAGGCTGTTGGGTTTTTGTTTCACATGCAGGCTCCAATAGAGAGCTAGGGTTACCGTAGCTCTCATATCTCTCGCGCCGTACGATGCATTGTGAGGCCTAAAGAATATTTGTTAATTCGGCCAACCATCTTCCACATGGACCCTTGCAACAAACCTTTTCTGAAGCCGTGCTTACAAATTGAAATCACACATTTCTTTACTGGAAAATTCGTATGCATCAACATCTACGCCCCATCAACATCTCTGACACACGGCAGTCTTGTCATTACTAGGCTTTATTGGGATGACATGGTAATGGTGGGGTGAAGGATGTAGGCCTACTGCTTTCTTCCACGGAAGTTTGTGTTGGGGTCCACTTTAGGGACCCTGTGGGGATCATTTGGCAAACTCCTAGCGGGAAGTTTGAGACAAACAGTTGCAAGGTAGCCCATCCAGGGCCCTGGCTGCAGGACCAGGTAGGTCCTTGCAGTTGCCATGGGGACATCCAAACAAGATGCAAATGCTTAAAACTCTTTGAAAGAGCTTGTAGCGACATGTAGTAGGGTTTTGGGTTTGAAGACTTGGAATCTTTTAGAGGAGGCTCGTGCGCGCTTATGGACTCAAGATCTCGGGCTTCGCCTACCAAGAGTTGCAAATGACCGCTGGGTTTGACAAAACAGCGTCAAATGAGCTATGGTCTAAACTCCTAGTATCCCCCTTAATAACCCCCATAGTAGTCCCCTATATAATCCCCTATATAAACCCCCCATTAAGGAGTTTAGACTACAGCTCAAATGGACTAACACGGGTGTGTAGAATCAAGCTTCCAGGATGAGCCAAGTCCTTCTTTTCTGATTGTAACGGGTCGAGCTGTTGATCATTTCCGCCCGTTTGCAATGAAGTCCCAAGAAGCAAAGATACCCGATTTTGTACCAGACGATGTTTTTTTCTTTGTCTGGTTTGTTGGTTCTGTGCGGAACTGCTTTATGTTGGCATCTCTCTTCTGCACGGAGCAAAACACTGCATTGGGGGGCGGCTTCAACGGAACCCTGCTCTTACCATGAAAACCGCCATTGCCTGATATGCTCCAGAGCCTAGAGGTAACTATGATACGGTGGCAACCGTCTTGCAACGGTACGTTGGCATTTTGAAGACTATTTGCAAATGACGCCAAAGTCCGCGTGAAGAAGATTCCAGTCACATACAAGACAGACAGCGCCTATGGAGAGGCAAGCAAGGCATATAGTGTAGAAGCCTAAATAGATACCAATATGCTTCAAGGGGTATAGCTATGTAAGGATTCTAAGACAATCATGTTGGTAACTATTGAGGCTTTCATTCGCGGAGTGCAAGCTCCAGACCCGAAAGACTAGACCCCAAGCAAAACTGCAACCCTTTTGAGTTACCGTCTGGCTTTATCATTTAATGAATCTAGGCATGCACACACAAATGGATGTCTCACAAAAAGTTTCGGATATTGGGGTCCTGCTTAGGAAGCCCGAAATAATCCACAAGTACTTGTACGCGCACATAGCCTTCTCTTTCCCCCAAAACGACGGCGAAGTGATTCTGGAATATTGGCCCTCAGCCCTAAAGCCTTAACCCTAAGCTCTTAAACCCTAAACCACACCTTTGCGCTTTGGCACATCATGTGGGAGTCTCTCAGAATAGGGGTATCTCAGGGATGCTTTCACTATAGTGGAGTTGGCAGAGGGATGATCGGCGCCGGTATTTGGGATTATATGAAGGATGCTTTGAGAATCCCTGTGTAAGCATGCACAACAGGGAACACATGGAGAATTGCTGAAGAACAAACGCCCCTACAGAGCAGGCAAGCTTCATGTAGTAGTGCGTAACGCTGGGCACGTTTTCCTCAGACAGGGCACAAAACCAAATTTCAAGGATGAAGGGGTGCTGAGTCAAGGGGTGCTGTGTTCTGAAGTTTGAGAGCACGTCAAAATTAAAAGGCTACGGTAAATTCTGCTGAGGAATCGTGCAGAGCCCTAGGCAGTTTGCCTGGATTCTCCGGTGAAGAGCCGGGGTTCAATTTCACAGCCACTTGACTTTTGGGCCGTAGCCAAAGCCCTGGTGGTCAACCTTCCGCTAGAGACCTTGAAGTGCCCAACTTTCATATGCACTGCTCAAGATGTCTAGACTATGGTCCGCATCTATATGTCTAGATATATGTATATATATATATACGTATACATACATATGGGGTGGCGCAGGATGTCCTACGTTCTTTGCAGTAGGACACCTCCATGCCTCCCCCAAAGAACCCAAGATTGTCAGAAGCATCCACCGGCGGAGGTCGCCCCAAGCAAAGCATTCATGTCTAGAGGCAGAAGCAACTGGCAAGTGGGGGATTGTCAAAATTAT